CAAATGACGACATTCACGCCTCCGTTTGGGGGAAGTGTGGGTGGAACAGTCTGACTCCACCACTAAATCAAGTTAGAATGTTTGGTCCCCAAACATTTTTATGTATACTATTTTATATAGTCACTTGATAGTGAGCCAGGTGGCATATCAATTTAATAAAAAAATAAATATCCCTCAAGGTTTGTTCCTGTATAAGTTCCAATCGTACCCAAGGGCAGCTTTGCCCAACTGTCTCAAACTACTACATCTAAGCTGCAAAACTGTGGACAATCAATAGAGGGCAGCCAAGAGACAAAATATATTCAGTCCATGTTGCCACCTGGTCGGCATCTGCAGTTCTGCAATCCTAAACTTTGTACCAAGATATCTATTGAGTGGAGAGGACTCATTCTCCTCTCCAATGGTTTAGATCAGGGGTGTTCAAACTTGGCCCTTTTATGACTTGTGGACTTCAACTCCCAGAAATCCTCAGCCAGCCAGAATTCTGGGAGTTGAAGTCCACAAGTCATAAAAGGGCCAAGTTTGAACACCCCTGGTTTAGATTCTGTGACCCCACCCTTCTTTAAGCTGTTGAGGACCCACTTTCTCATGGTCATATCTCCTTCTGTGTTGATGTACAGCAGTTTTCAAACTTGTAGCATTGCAAGCTTTTTAACCATCCTCTCTTGGAGATATAGAATTGTTCTTTGGCTACACAAGAATCAGCATTTTTCTTTTAATTTTTTTCAGTTTGTCTCAACTATGAATTGAAAAATTAAGCCAACAGCATCTGTCTCACGTCAAAGGGAAAGAAGGTTCTGAACTGGTGTTCTTTAAGAAGGACAATCCCAATTCTGACCAAACCCAAGAATGGTTTCACGAAATTTCCCAAATCAGGAAACAGTGGAAATTTACTTCTTGAAATAAAAATATAAAGTGATGGATCAGTTGATGGGTCAATAGAATAATCAATTCCTCAATAGGTAGATTTTCATAACATGTGTATTAAACCTGGTTACTGAATTAATCCAATTTTCTAAATTACACAACTCAGGAATAAACTTATCAAAGTAGTCTGGCCTCATACAATACATTAATCTATTTAAAAATCACCAAAGTTAAACATGTATTGTGTGAATACAGCTGCTATGATTGAAATTGGCCTAGCTAAGAAGTTTTTCTGACTATAACAGCCAGATAATAATTGGATGTGACAAGGAGGCTGGCTTTTAATTTCATGCAATCTCCTAAGAGAAACCCAAACAAACCACCATATGGCTTTGTGCTGTTATTGTTACAAACTAGTTTTGAGGATACAATCTCCAGTGAAGCTAAAATAGGAACCAACTAGGTTCCATGGTGACTATTAACTGAACGTTAGCAGAGCAGAGATTCAAAGCAAGGGACTAAGCAAAGATTGTCAGCAAGGCTGGTTAACATATCTGACCTTTAGCCTGTGATACTAGAGAACTGGCAGTACATCAAAACATAAATAACAGCTTGAGGAATTAAAAAAAAAAAAAGGGACAACCTGACTGCATAAATCATATGCCCTGAGACAGCAACTTAAAACACTTTGCCTCATTGGGAAGTCTCATGCATGAAACTGGTGTGAATGCTGGAAGAGGCATTGTCATATTGGCTGGTGTCTTTCTCAATCTTGGCAACTTTAAGACCTGTGGACCTCAACCCCCAGGATTCCCCAGCCAGACATGCTTTAATTCTGTCCCTCTCCTCTTTAAGTCCCAGCATAATTTCTATTAAACTGCAGTTTCCCATGCCCTCTTCTCCTTTCTTCTTAGTAGCAGGCCATAGGGCAGCATTTCTCAACCTCTTGCAAGCTGGGGGATTCTGGGCGTTGAAGTCCACAAGTCTTAAAAGTGGTGAGACACTGCTGTAAACCAATCAGTAATATTGGCGGGGTGAGGCTGGAGAAGGTGTTCAGCCTTCTTATCCTCTCCTAACATTGCCAAACATTTTTGAACTGTTGTGTGCCTAAATTCTTTCCTTGCACGAACAGTTTTCTGGGAATGCCTACACATCACACTTCAGTATTCCCATTATAAAGACAACCAACATAGCATTGGACCATTTCATACTGCAGAGTAAAATTTTTGTCCTCTAGTCTAAACCAAGCCAGGGTCCCCAAACTTGGCAACTTTTAAGACATGTGGACTTCAACTCCCAGAGTTCCCCGGCTAGCAGGGGAACTCTGGGAGTTGAAGTCCATAAGTCTTAAGTTGACAAGTGCTCTAAAGCAATTTGGGGGCAAATTTAAAAATAAAAAAAAACACAATATGGCACCCTTGCTGGGTTTCTACCACTCCAAGATGTTTTTAACCCAGGATCTGTAGTTCACTTTCACCACAGGGCATTTAGGATCCTTGGCAACTGGTATCACAGCAAAACCACTTGCACTGAATGGCTCTTTGTAGTTGGTTCTAACAACTCCTGGCCAAACACCAAACATAAATGGAAATTATTAGATGTCTTCAGGCATCTTCAACTTATTTTTGCAGCCTAATATATGCAGAACCCTTCAGAAGTAATACTATAGATGGCCTGTTCACCTATCACACGCTCCTTTTATTGAATAAAGCAGAATCGTCTGGATTCACACAACAGACTGAGGTACACCCGTGTAACTTTATCCTAGGTGAACTGCTTTAAATGCAACTCAGTAGGCAACATCCTCTCACCTGCCTTGTCCACCCTATTGCACCATTACTTTAAGCATCATATAGCTTATTACTACTCTAAGCTTACAAGAGGATGAGGAAAAAAGAACCAGCAAATATCCTGGCATTACCATTTAAGAAAGACCTGTTGAATACTAGCCCACTTTGTAACACAACTACATATCACAACATTTTAAATGTAACCTGTACTTCTCTACCTGTATGGCCCAGATCACAGATCACACTATACTACAATATTAATTAACATTTATACCTCTCCTTCTCTGGAAGCTTATGGTGCAGATTCTGGGTCCTGGCCTATTTTAAACGCTATACAGGTAGTCCTCAACTTACAACAGTTCATTTAGTGACCGTTTAAAGTTACAATGGCACTGAAAAAAGTGACTTATGACCATTTTTCACACTTATGACCATCACAGGATCCCCAGGGTCACATCATCAAAATTCAGATGCTTGACAACTGGCCCATATTTATGACGTTGCAGTGTCCTGGTGTCAGGTGATCCCCTTTTGCAACCTTCTTATAAGCGATGTCAATGGGCAAGCCAGATTCACTTAATAAATTAACAATTGCAGTGATTCACTTAACAATTGTGGCAAGAAAAGTCTTAAGTGAGAAACACATTTCTCACTTCACAACTTAAATTATTTAACATTATATAGGCTTGCTTCACTGTGGTTCAATTAAGCCAGGTTGCACATCATACCATAAACTTTTTTCCAGAAACAAACAGAATTCACTCCCATGCCAGGCCAAAATAAAAGCCATATTATGGCTAGCAGAATGCATGTAAGTTGCATACTCAACCAGGAGGCAATTCCCAAATTTGTCACATGTCACTTTTAACTCCTGCAGGTATTAATCTGCCTTCCACTTTTCACATTCGCAACACCTTGATTTTTTTTTTGGGGGGGGGGGGGAAATCTTAGAAACATAAATCTAAATTGTAAATCCAGATAGATTTGTTGCTCAATATTGGTTGACAAATTTTCAGTCTGTTCCTTAGAGAGATCATGTTATTTTCTAATATTAAAGTACTTTATTTGCCAATTTAAGTTTGCAAGAAGCTCTATTTGGCAATTTTACGCTAATGCCCTAATAACACAAAGTGTTCCTCTCCTTGCTAAATGTCTTTTACTGCAATCAGCAAAAGCTGAAACTGCTCTAAATCTTTTCTCAGATTGGCTGCTTCCCAATTTTAAGGCCAGTATTTTAAATCTGGGGGTTCAAATCATTTTTAAAATAATTACCAATGGAACTATAATTGATCCAGGAAGTTACAATTTACAGTGATTATGGTGCCTTTGGAAGATCTCTTCTTCAGCATCCAGCAGAATGAAACAATTGCACCACATTAAAATAGTGACTTAAACGTCAGTATGAAAAATTACGTAATCAAGCTATATTTGGATGTGTCCATGCATGTTAAGTTAGTCTTTCCTCCCTCCCAGAAAAAAAAACCCTGTAAAAATTTCCAAAGAATTAAAAAAAGTTTAAAATTTATTAAGAAACTTTTATAAAAAGTTTTTTTGGTTTTTTTTTTTTACAAAGCAAGTACAATTCTCGGAAACAGAAATTCACCTTCCTGCCAAAAAAAGGTACATATGTCATCTCTATTATAGAGTTCAACAATTTTAACTCATGAGGCTCAACCAACCTCAAGTGAGTTCAATTTTCATAGTCTTACATCCCTTCCCAACCCCCACCCCAAACTGACATTAAAAAACTATAATCCAAAATATACAAACAAGCTGAGTTATCTGCAAATTTTTTTGCTTCATTTTTTAAAAAAGAGCAAAAAAAAATCTCTCTCCATAAATCTCTACACCAAAGCATTGCAACTGTGGAAGAATGAAGTCCACATTCTTTTAGCTCTCTTCAGCCCAAACAATGGGCAGTACAAATCTGATGGCTCAAGAGGGGTTTTTTTCCCCTTTCTTCTACCTTTGCCAAAAAACTGCTTTAGGATACCAAATTCCTTCTTGTGCAAGGCAGCAATCCAATGAATGAGTAATTTGACAATAAAAGGCAAGATGCTTTCCCCAGCACCCCCAGTCCTGGCCTGCAGAGTTTCTTGTTTTCAGGCTGATGGAAGATAAAAGTAACACAAGTTTGTTTTTTGTTTTTTAAAAAAGTTGTTATTGGAAGACCCAGTGGAGAAATTGCCTTGGGTGATCTCGTTCCACAGTTTATCTGGAAGATAAAGGCGCGCGGGCGGGAGGGAGGGAGGTCCGTCCATTAGGGATGCCCAGTTTTGGAACAGCTGATTCTTTCTCCAGTCAAGGTCTTATTCTTCCTTCTTTCTTTTTTCCTCCCCTTTCTTTCGCTGGAGAGAACCCAGTGTCAGGATCCCACACCTGCAGCCTGAATGGGTGGGGAAGAAAAGCTCTTGTCAGTTTGAGCAACAGATCAGAGGCAGGTCTGCAGACAGCCTGGCGCCTGGAAGGAAACTTTTATGTACCTCCAGCTGATAAGGAATCAGCCGCCAATACTCAAGCTGGGGGCTGGCTAATTGGCACCAAAAACAACCAAAAGGAAAGTGGGGGGAGGAAGGCAGGAGGGGCCAAAAGGCAGAGAGCCACAGGCTCTTCTCTTTCGGAACTCTCTGCAGATGGATCTAAAATTACAGATTCCAGCAAGAGCGGGGAACAACTGTAGAGCTGTGTCTTCCTGACTACCAAAGGGGGGGGGGGGAGAGGAGAGAGAGAGGGAAAGCGGGCGAGTGCAGAGTGCCTCTTGATTCACTCATTTCAACAGGGCTGTTTAAGCAGCTGCAGAGACTTAAAGCTATTAAAAGAATGACATTGTAAAAATAATGACTCCATTTACAGGCAAAAAAAAAAAAAAAACCCTGAAAGCCCAAGCTGCTGCAGAATTGGCAGCAGGAACAAGGGGCATAAAAGACACATTCTCTTAGCATGAGAGGAGTCATATAAGGCTACTGTGGGTAACCTAGTTTTCCAAGCCAGCAAGCCCTTAAAACAAGGCTTCATCCTTTTGTAGGATTCCAAGAGGTTTTCATGGCTAAAGGGAGGAGGAGGATCGAGGAGGTCTTAGGCAAGTTGGCTGTACCTGTTAAGCCTTTAGTGGTGGCAAAGGGTTCTTTCCTCCTTTGAGCAGAGTTCCGATGCAAGTTCAGCTGCCTTTGGAGAAGATGAGAAGAAATATTGACTAAACTTTTAAATATAGTACCAGGTTCTTCAAAGGTCAATTTTCAGACTCTTAGGCCTATTTTTTATTTCTCCATTGCTACTCTCTCTGCCAATACCACCCGATTTGCTACAGGCTTTTGAAAAAGGATCTAGGATTCTAGGTTGCTCTCTCTACTGGATGAACCCACTGGTTGAATGGAATCAATATTTCAAATCCTGTATTTACTCATAATTAACCCATTTTGAAGTATGGCAAAAGATCCTGGGTTCCAAACAAAGGAGTGTTTGAAAACACCTAGATTTTTTTATGGGGTTTCCTATGAAGGAAAACATCAGCAGTAATCACCCTCAATGCGTCTTACTCTCAAGTAAGTCTGCTTTCAATGAGGTCTATTCCTTGGAACCAGTTGTGTAAATCTTTGGCTTTTTGCTAAAGATTTGAGACTCAAGATCACAAAGCCAAATTCGCTATTCTTGTGTTTCCTTCGCAGGGATCCACTTTTCTGGGGCCAAATTTTAATCCAGTTTTGGATGGATTGCGAGTGGCTGCCTCATTTCCATCTCCCCACCCCAGACAAGCCTGAACGCTGAAGTTGTAATTTATAATAGAACTTAACAAAAATTCAAGGAAACGGACTGAGTTTAGTGGATGCTCAAATTTATGCGCCTTTTCCTCCTCGTCCAAATAAATTCCTTAGGGCTTTTGTTCCAGGACAAGCCCGGGATAATGAACCTCCCCACCCCTCCACCAACGAAGCGGCTCTTCTTGACCCAGTGGCGCGCATGGGGACCGGCGCAAACTGCTGCTAGAAGCCGTTCAAGCTGTCATCTGGCGGCGTCAGTGAGGAGGGCGAACCCCACATTATAGTACAACTGTCCATCCTCCCGAGGACGATGGGTGTTGTAGTTCGACGAGCCAGCGTGATTGATAGGAAAGAGCAACAAGGTCGAGGAATGAGGAGTCTGGGGCGCACTCTTACCCTTAACGCACTAAGCCTCCACTCCCTACCTTGCGTGGCTCTTTCCTATCCCCTCCCCGCCACCCTTGTAGGGTTGCCCGCCTTCCTTCCTTACTTTTAAGGAGAGCAGAGAAGCCTCGGTCGAGGGATCCTGCCCCTTCTTCGCCTGCTCCTCTAGCACGATCTGGAGATCGAAGATGTAATCGATGACGTGTTGCAAGATTTCCACCTGGCTGACTTTACTGCCTTGCGGAATGCCCGGCACCAACTCACGCAGCTTGGAGTAGCAATCGTTCATGTCGTAGAGAATGCTCATCGGTTCCTCCAGAGCGGGGCTCTTGTTACTGCTGCCCCGGGCGATGGCGAGGCTCTGATCCGAGACGCAGCACACGGCTTCGTAGCAGCTCCTGACGGACCGCACCGGGCTGATAGCTTTCATGCTGGATGGGGAGGACGGGCGGAGGAGCGAGCGGGGCAGGCGAGGAAATGCAAACAGGCCACGGCCGACGAGGCGGAGGAAGGCTGTCCGCCGAGATCTCCTACCCGGATCCGCTCGGAGACACTTTTTTGCCCGCAAAGCGCCAGCGCTGACAGCGGCGCTTTTTGTCTTATCTGGCCCCGGCCCCTCCTCGTTATGCAAATGAGGCCGGAGCGCCCGCCCCCTCCGATGACAGCGAAAAGGTTGGAATGGAACGTTTGCAAGGCGGCTCAACAGCCAAACAGGTTCCTATTGGCTTCGGCGGACACCACATAGCAAAGGACATCAAAGGAATGAGGAAGCTCTGATTGCAAAGAGGGCGGGGCTAGCCATCAAACGGCGCTTCCCCCCTCCCCCCATGCCGCTTCCATTCAGCGAAGTCCAGCTATGTTCAAAAGATACGTCGATCGCATCTCCCCCTTTTTCATTAAAATAATGATTAGGGGGTGGGGAATGGAGCAGAGAGGGGCGCCAGATACTTAGACCGTAGAAAACAGCCAGATTTCCCCCTTTCTGCCTTCCTCTTTTCGCCTAATCTTTCATCGTTTAAAAGCTATAGCGTTTCCCAAGGTTTTGCATCTCTCCCCCCACCCCATCATTGGGGGAGGCAAACTTGTACGGACTTAGTGCCGCCTTGTTCCTCAATTTGCTACTCATATGACCTCCAGACTTTCTGGCGTCAGGAATTATCTTGTGACCAAGTTTTTTTTAAAAAAAGAAAAAGAAAAAAGAAAAGAAAATTAATTGCGGGGAAAGCTGAGGTTATGATGGAGAAAACAGATTGGGTCCCAAAGTAATGATAGTGGAAACCCGAGTTTCTGTGGTGTGAGAGTGCAGTGAAAGTGGGAATTGCACACAAAAATCTTTTGTTTGACAAATAAATGCCCCAAGGGGAGGAACGGCTAAGAGATTTTAGCTTTTAGCAAGCGGCTTTTAGCTTTTAGCAACCAGTTTTTTTTTTATCTTTGGGGAAAAAAGTGATAACTATAAGATGAACTGGAAAATAAACTGGCACAAAATAATCTGACACAAATCTAAGTCTCTTGCCTATATTTCTAAATAATACACATGCCTCCTTTCTCTGATGCCCCATGATGCATGCTCTGATCACCCCAATCATTTCCAAATATGCAGATAAATTTTGTTTACTTAGGGATGCTAACCCCTCACACACCTATCAGGTGGCCAAATATCTTCACCAAGTTATACAATTGTTTTACTGTCCTATTAATTTTTTTCCTTTCCCAATAACAAATTGTTGCCTTAAACTATTTCTGTTTGGTCAAATACCATAATAGAGTTTCCTGATTTGATTTGATGCATATGCCAATGAATTATCACAAATTATGAATTATTGAATATAGGGGATATAATGAATAGTAGATTCTTATTTTGAAACAAGCTATTGTCTATTTAACAAGCCATAACCCTAAGCCCACATGGGTGATTTCATTCAATAGGGTTCCCCCAAAACATTATGGTTAAGCTCTAGGGTGGTTTGAACAAACCATGTGTTCAATCAATCAGAATAGAGCTGAAAGGGACCTTGGAGATCGTCTAGTTCAACCCTATACAGTTTGAGATAAGTGGCTGTCCAGTCTCTTCTTAAACACCTCTAGTGATGAAGCACCCACAACTTGTGAAGGCAAGCCATTCCATTGGTTAATTGTTCTCAATGTTAGGAACTTTCTCTTCAATTCCAGGTTGCTTCTCTCCTTGGTTAGCTTCCATCCATTGTTTCTTGTCTTGCCTTCTAGTACTTTGGAAAATAAGTCAACCCCCCCTCTTCTTTGTAGCAGCCCCTCAAATACTAGCCTATTGTGATCCTACTGTTTTCAACCAAAGCTAAGTCAGCCTTCTGCTTGCAAGATGACTGGAATGTCACCAGAAGTGAACCATTCTAATGGGGGGGGGGGGGAAACAATAGCAACTTGGCAAGCTAATGCTGGACATCTTTTAAGTCATCTGTCAGCCCACTGGGTATCATGTACGGTAGCTCATATTCACACCCCACAGTCCTCCAGATATATAAGATTTTAATTTCCATAAACCCCAGGAACTACCATGCAGGTTGGGAATCATAGGAGATGATCCATCACAGCTGGAGGGTACCAGGTTGGGAAAAGAGAACACAGGAGTCTGCAAAGATGGTTTGTTTGTTGCCAAGCTAAAATTGCATTGATCAATGCGCATTTTTAAAAAAATACATCAATCAACCACAAGCAGACTTTTGGAATTTTATGTATTTGTTAGGTACTATGACACCCACCAGTGTCTGGGAGATTGTTCTAGTGCACATGTTCTTTATGATAGGAGTCCCAACCCAACTGGTGTGGCGGATTGGTACAAGTGTGTGGCCTGTTAGGAACAGGGCCAGGCAAGCAGTGGGCAAGCGAGTGAAGCTTCATCTATGCATGCGCAGGATCTAATTTGTGCATAAAAACATCCCCCCTGGGTCTTCCATGAAAAAAATGTCTTCCATGAAACCGGTCCCTGGTTCCAGAAAAGTTGGAGACTGCTGCTTTAAGTAGCTTTAAACCTCTTGAGCATCATCACTTTATTTCAAAAAGGGATCTGCTGACTTTAAAAGTGTGAAAACCCTTTTCCTACTCTTCCCTTATGATTGGGAATTCAGAGATGTCATCTGTGACCCACTAGATGAAGGAAGTCTTCACCACCCTAATACTCAACTTGCATTGCAGGCCCATTCTCTGGATGAGAAAAATGAGGCTAAATTTGCAGGTTATGTTTCAGGATATTTGGAAACTTGATTGCCCATACAGGTGGTCCTCGGCTTACAATAGTTCATTTAATGACCATTCAAAGTTACAATGTCTCTGAAAAATAGTGGCTTTTTCACACGTATGACCTTTACAGCATTCCCCATGGTCACATGATCAAAATTTGGATATTTGTTAACTGATTCATATTTATGACAGTTGCAGTGTCCCGAAATCACGTGATCACCTTTTGTGACCACCTGACAAGCAAAGTCAATGGGGAAGCCAGGTTTACTTAACAACCGTGTTACTAACTTAACAACCGCAGTGATTCACTTAACAACTGTGGCAAGAAGGTTGTAAAATGAGGCACAACTCAATTGTCTCACTTAGCAATCAGCGAATGTTGGGTCCAACAGTGGTAGTATGTGGAGGACCACCTATAAAGGTAGAGGGAGCATGTTACAAAGTTTGTTTCAGTCTTGTCAAAGTGATGTTTGGGTTCAATCTTGCAAGCCGATACCAAGCAGGAAAATGTAGTGAATTGCCATGGGACCTGCAGTTACAGAATTCCCCTCACCAAATAAATAAATAAATACATACATACATACATACATACATACATACATGCATGCATGCATACATGCATGCATACATACATACATGCATACATAAAGTTACCTATCACAACCTTACTTTGTGTTGTATGCATTCCTCTGGTTATACTGAAAATATCCCATCAGCTCCTGAGGGAAAATCACAAAGGCATCCATCCACTTTTTTCTGTTGAGAGCTGCATCCCAGGAGCTGGGAGGGATGATAAAGCAGCATTCTTGTAAATGGAGAATGAACATTCTCTCCCCCTCCCCCCCTGCCACAAATCCACAGAGTTGTAGTATGTTTTGTTAAGGACATTTTACTAGTTTCAAATACTGTATACCTGTGCCAAAAATGAATTGACTCAGCTTTCCAATGTAGAAATATATAGGTGGTCCTCAACGTACAAGCTCAATTGAACCAAAATTTCTATTGCTAAAATTTGCTAAGTAAGTTTTACCCCGTTTTATGACCTTTTTGCCGCAGTTGTTAAATGAATCACTGCAGTTGTTATGGTAGTAACGTTTTGCTTGTCAGAAGGCTCCCTAGACACTGCAACTGTCATAAGTATGAGTCAATTGTCAGGCATCTCAATTTTGATCATGGGAATGCTGCAAAGGTTGTAAATGTGAAAAATGGTCATAAGTCACTTTTTTCAATGATGTTGTAACTTTGAACGGTCACTAAATGAATTGTTGTAAGTCGAGAACTACCTTAATGGGCTCCCGAACTTCTAAACTGCTTTTGAATTAGCACAGTGTGGAAATGCCCTCGAAGAAAGCTTCTGTATCTTACAGAATTTTGTATCATTGTCTGGCTAACGAGTAGGCTGGCTTGGTCGCTCAACAGTGAGAAACTGGTAAAGCGGACACAGCAGTGCCTGCATTTTCTGCGTACATGAGAAAAGCACATCTTCCTTCCCCTGTCCTGACCACTTTCTACAGGGGGACGATCAAGAGCATCCTGTCATATTGCATCACGGTCTGGTTTGGAAGCATCCCTGCTTCAGACAGGAAGGCGGTGCAGAGAGTGGTGAGAATGGCCGAAAAGATCATTGGCTGTTCCCTCCCTCCCATCCAGGACATAGCACAGAAGCGTTGCTTGAGCAGGGTCCGTAAGATTATCTGGGACACGACACATCCTCTTCACGACCTGTTTTCCTTGTTACCTTCTGGGAGGAGGCTTTGTGGTATCCGTAGCAGAAGATCCAGATTCAGCCACAGTTTCATTCCATACAGCATTAACCTTGTTAACTCTCAAGCTCCCTCCTTCCAACAGTATTTAATATTTATTTGCTGTGTATATGTAGGGGTGTGGGTCTATACATATGTTGTACATAGTATGTTTTAGGTGTGTGTGTCATGTATGTGTTTCACTTTGAGAGCGGGCAACTAAATTTCATTTTTGATGTGTGCCGTTGTGCCCACAGTAAAAAATGTCAATAAAGGTTATCTTATCTTATCTTATCTTATATCTTATATCTTATCTTTGTCCAGGAATTTCTTCTAGCTGTTAAGATAATACCTGGGACAGATAGGAAAAATCTAGCCTGCTCCCTTCACCAGTTCGTTTTCTTTGTCTTTTTAAGGCCAGATATTGTTGAAATCCACATTGTGGGTTTGCACAATGCATTGAACCATAAAGTAATCAAAATTCTTTGGTTCAAACTTTATACTAAGACACCCCCCTCGTACACACACACATACACAATGTATGTGAATGCAGATGGGTTTGTATCTCACCTGCTTGAACATGATGCTAAAATGTAATTAGTCAAC